GAATATTTTGACAACGACTATCAAATAATTATAATCGAATATTTCGTTTGACAACGAATGTTGAATATTTGACGTCTACAACCGAACATTCCATTTGACAATGACTACAGAATAGTGACAGTCGAATATTTATTGTGTCACGACGTGGTGGAACCAGGCACTCGTCAGTTTTTGGGCATATAGAGTTATTGGTATCATCTTCTGAAAGCTTATTCATTTGCCGTGCTTTCAATGAAAAAGTACCCATCTATCTAGAATAGAAGTCAAAATATTTGCGATTCAAGGACAGGGTCGCCGGGTCTTTGTGGTGAAATGAGAGAGAAAATGGCCGTCAAAGTTTGGTACTTCTAATAGCTAAAGAGTCCTCAAAAACTTTTTAAAATGGCATATTTGTGCCTTTAATCAACGTTTTCCAGTAGAATTTACAGGGAAATATGTTTTTATATGGACAGAAAAGGGGTTGAGCTAAAAGAAAGAAAGAAATATTCGTTAAAAATGGCCTAACTAGCGGGGAAAATGCCCGTTTCTCTAATTTCGTTATTTTGACGAGCGCCTGATTTCACTACGATGCCTCACATTGTATGTGGCAAGGACTACGGTTGCAGACACTCACCATACTCTCTACTCCCATGACTCAGATCCGGCATCGACGCTTGGCGCCCGTGATATCCCGTCACCTCTGGCCTTTGACCTTGGCTGGACGGGTGCTGCTGGCCTTGACCTCTGAGGTCACCGGGGCTGCTGTCAAACGAGCGGTTCATACCCCGGCGGCCAGCAGACGTTGTGTGTCCGTTTTCTTGTGGGCCGGAGGGGGAGGGGGAGGAGGAGGTGGGTGGACCCGCGTCATATGACCTGAAGTCACACACACACACACACAGATGAAACGATAGGGGATTTTATAATTATTAATTCTTGTTTTAGTAAGAGTTTTACAGCACTTGCAAAAACACAATAAGGTTATACAAGTGCCGAAGATAGAGGTGTTACACGAGAGAAACAAACACACAAAAAAAGGAGTGCGTGATTAGGACGACAGCTGATGTTTTAGTTCAGTTTTAGTAGAGGTTTTACGGAGCTCGCAACTGCATAAGGTCATATGAGCGTCAGAAGATTAGAGATGTTACAAGAGA